CGCTACCTCCTCCGGAGCCGGAAAAAGCCCGAAGCCAGGCTGAACTCCCACATCGCATCCGAGCGCAGGGACAACCTGCTGCTCCCCCCAGCCCTCCTCCAGCAGGAACAGCAGAAGGAGCTGAGCATTCCCAGCCAAAGCGAATTGGATCCCCGGAAAAGCCCACGGGGAGCTCCGAGGTTAAATATTGGGATGGGACCCGGCTCCTGCTTCACCCAAAGCCCTGAAGGGCTCTGCTCCATCCCTGCATCCCGGCCAAGGACGCTGTGGGAAGCAGTTGGAGGCTTCCCGTGCCAGAGCTCCCAGGCTCCTGCTATGGTGGAGGGGCAAAATTGGGAATGAAAATAAAAATAGCAGGATAATCTTTTACTGGCTCCTACCTCTGAGGAACTCCTAGAGCAAATCCCAGCTGAACTGGAACTTGCTTCCCCCTCATCCCTGCCTGTTTCTGAGGGCTGAGCGCTCAGGTTGGAAAACTTGGAGGTTTTAAGGGTTTTACCCTTGCTTTAGGAAGCAAAACCCAGCGGGCACACGGAGCAGAGGGTTCTCCTCATGGAAAGCAGCAAGGACCAGCCCCAAAACGATGTCGGTGTGAGCGCCAGCAGCTCTGCCCCGACCCCTTCCCGGCTCCCTGGGGAGGACTCACCGCTGAAGCGGGATCTGCTCACGTGCCCGGTGTCCATGGCAAACGCTCCCGGCGAGGGGACAGCCTGGAATGCGTGAGACACGGCACACAGCGTCAGGATGAACGGGAGGACTCAAAGATCCAACGCCTGGTGGTTTTCCAGCAGGGACTCTCCATCACTTCTCCCCCTCCATCGCTCCCGGCCCTGGCTCCTCTCAGGCACCGGCAGGAGCTGCAGGAGGGACGGGAACGCTCGGGAAGGGGCAGAGCTGCTCGATTTGCCACGGGAGCCTCTAAACAGGAAACATTCCCAAGCTCTCCGTGTGCGGTATCCCTCCTCCAGGAGCCCTCCAAGCCCTTTGCTGCTTTTCCAGCTGAAACCTTCCTCTGCCTCCTGCAGTCTCCCAGCCTTTGCCGAGGTTTGCCCTGGGCCCAGCCGAGGGGGGCAGCCCCGTTCCCCCATTTTGGGGTCACTGAGGGGTTTAGGGGATGTGGTTCCCCAGGAATCAGCTCCTGCAGTGGGAAAGCTCTGTTGCCTTCCCCCCCAAAAAGGGTTTTTCACAGTCAGGTCAAAAGGAATTTGCTCTCCCAGGCAGATCCCAGCACAAGCACCAGGGATGCTGAGGGGGGTTTATCCAAGCCAGCTACTCCTGCTGTGTAAAGGGGGCTTTGGAATCCCCAAAAACACCCAACAAGCAAATCCAGGGATTTGCTGGAACTGACCAGCACCCCCTGTTCCCTGGCATCCGTGCCAAGGAATCACAGACCATGGAGAGCTGTGAGATCCCACAGAACCCCACAGGGACACAACCTCAGCACTGCACCTAAACCCCTCACACCTCCCCCTGAGCCCCCAGCCCTTCCCCAGAATTCCCAAAGCCCACCCAGGGAGCTGGACTGGCCTCAGGCACTGCATGGGGGTGATCAACTCCCCCAAAACCACCCAGGCTTGGACTTTAACAGGCAAAAGTGGGAATTTCATGGCATGGATATCAGCTGCGCTGGCCTGGCCCCCTCTGCAGGGGCACAGGGCCCATCCCTGGGACAGCAGGAGGATGGGGAGCCCTGACTGTGACCCGAAGTGACAGAGATGCTGGGATGAGGCTGGGAGGTGCCCAAATCCTGCCCACCTCCTCCCTCTGGCACAAACCTCCCTGTGCAATGGATAAATTCCCAGTCCTGCCCTGGCTGGGAACGTGCTGAGCTCATGTCATGGCCTGAGCTCAGCTCAGGGCCCACTTTGCTGTTTAGAGCAGAAAATTGACATTTTAACAGAGCAACATGATGGAGATTTACCCTAAACTGCCTCTTTTTCTGCCCTGAAAAGCCCCTGCACCCAAGCAAGGTGCTCTGATCCTCTCCCTGCTTCCCAATTATTTTAATATGAGAACAGCAAAGTTTTCAGGACTGACTTTCCCTGCAGGAGGACAAACATCCCCTTTAAACCCCCTCCATCTCTTCCCAATTTCCTCTGGAAATTAGAAGGAATTCCTAATTTTTCTTTCCTTTCAGAGCTTCTCTCCCCCAAACCTCCCTCTCTAATGAGCTCTAAGCAGCAAGTTAAGCAGATTTCCAAGGCATCACCTGGAAAGAGACTGCAGTGCTCAGCACTGGGATGAAACCCAGAGGTATTTTCCTATTAGGAAAACAGCATCAATCTCTCCTGAGTGAGAAAACGGGGGCGGAGGTGCTCAGGGAAGGATTTATGGGGTATTTTTTGTTAACTGAGCTCTTCCCTGGAGCGTTGCACCGAGCTGCTCCAACACCCCCCTGACCTGCTGCTCAAATCCCTGGGAAATCAAGCCTGAGGCATTGGGAAGGGAAGAGGCACGGCTCTCCTGCTGCTGGCAGCACTGGGATTGATGGGTTTTTCACCCCCAGACCTCAGGATCAGGCTGCAGAGCCCTGGTTTGGGGTGCAGAGCCCCAGAAAGGGGTGCAGAGTGCCAGATTTGGGGTGCAGAGCCTTCTCCATCCATCCCAACACCCCAGGGCCAGGGCAGCTTCATTTTCCCTGGGAGCTGCTGCAGAGCTCAGGTCCCTTTTCCTGCTTGGAGGGACAATATAACAGCTCAAGGGGGGAGAGAAAAACAGCACCAAAGCGGCCTGTCCCTCCAGAAAAGGGGTCCCCAGCCTTCACGGGGCTGTCACCTCGCTGCTGCCAAGGCCACAGGCACAGACACCCCGAGTGCTGTCCCCAAAGCACCTGGGCCAGCCTGGCTATGACCC